TTCCCCTCAGCTTTATAGAGAGCATCTTTCAGCTCATTGTGTAGTTTTAGGGCCAGGGGCGTTTCTAGACTGTTTTGACTGGGGTGGCACAAGTGGGGTACTGACTTTTGCAGGGTGGACATGAAGTATGTGTCTCAGCCTTTCAGTCATTCTCAATTTATGCAATTCTAATACTGCAGTAATGTTTAAGGACACTATGCAAAAATAACACATTTATACCACCTCCAAGAAATGGCATGGGATTCACATAAAGTAGGCATGTAAAGGCGAGACTCGTGGGTACCCATAGAACCCATTTTCATTCAGATATCTCGAGGTCAAAGGTCAAGGGATCCCTTTGAAAATGGCCATGCCAGTTTTACAATCGCCAAAATTTTGCCCAACTTTGGAGGTTTATTTATTGCTTTTCCCGACATGCTAGCATGTAAGGGTTGGTACCAATGGACGCTTTAGGTCATCTAGTTTCATATTATACCAGCTCTATTTATAATCTAACAAACTGCACACAAGTTAGCGGTTAGTTGGTGAACACAGTGGAGCATTTAGAAGCTAAAGAGTCAGATCAACACATTCAGCATATCAACATAAAAGCTGACATTAGTAGTGTGTGTTGGTGGCCAAAACTCTGTGTAGATAATAAGTCATTTTTTAAATCTATGCTGGAAAATAGGCAACATCTGCATGTCCTCTGAATAATTATAGCACCAAAGGAATATTTCAACCAAGGTTATCTGGAAACCAAACTCAGCCACGGTTGTTTCATTTCAGTTCTTGCAAGCTATTGAAATGAACGGATCCAACTTGTTAGGCCACTTAAAAAAACTCACAAGGCTTCACTTATACACTTCAGGGTGAAATACTCCTTTAAAACGACCTCTTTAAGAACATGAGTTTAGCCTGGGTTGAGATGCCCACTCAGTGTGGTTCACATAATCATTCAGAACTGACAGACACACAGGAAGCAGTACACTGATTTATGATTATGATTATTCTTTGCCGGGCTGATATCACCAATCCAGCTGAGGCCTAATATTGCAGAGTTTTCTGCGGAAATAAGATGCAAATTTGAAACCAGGTTTTTGGGAAAGGATGGGATTGTATTCTGAGCTAACACAAAAAAAACTCTAAATATTTTATAGACCATAAAAACACCCTTTCTGTGTGGGTGGATGTCATATTAAAGAAGCTGTCATCAGAAAGTCGCAAAGTGACGTCTGTAATGGAGTTATTTCTCTAATCAGTCAGAGCTCAGTAGACCCCGCAGCTGTCTGAGCCGCTTGTTACAACAAAAAACACCTTGAACTCCTGTGACATACTCCCACCTGTCACCTATCACGCACACACACACACACACACACACAGTTTTGAACATTCGGGGAGCAGTGGGATGGAGCTGTGAAATGGGAAGGATTAGTCACTTTGTCAGGAGATGTATGAGGCTTCTCTCAGGTGGACGGCAAGCCACAGGGGGCATCTGGGAGAGGGAGAGGGGAGAGAGAAGAAATTAGAGGCCAGGAAGAGAAGACAGAGAGGAGCAGACGTGGAGGAGAAAAATGAAAGTGTGCAAAAATGAAGACGGAGTGGGAGAAAATGCCGTTTGTGAGGCACAAAAAGGAGACGGTGGGCATTTAGTCCCACAAACTCTGAATCTGACAGCGATGTAGCTCGCCTCCTCTCGCATTTGCATCACTTACATCACTGGGACACACACTCATGCACAGGGGAACACTCTGGGCGGTGTGTGAACGCCAACTTGTCCATGTGTTGTGTTCTGTCTTTTCTTCCAGGGTAGTGAAATAGGCAGTGGCCTGGACCCTGGCCTTGTGTGCGCGTGTGCGTGTGTGTGTGTGTGTGTGTGTGTGGTAGAGGAAGAGGAAGAGGAGGGGGAGTTGGTTCAGGCCTGAACAGGAGGTGTGGGATCCAGAAAGCTGGGGGTCCCATGTGAGAATGTGGCCATCGTCAGCGCTGCCGTGGCAGGCCTCGGCACCATCTGTGCTCCCAGCAGGGCGCCCAGCGCGTTCTCCGCCACCCAGACACATATGGACACACAAAGGTGCTCACTTTCTCTCTCTCTCTCATGGACGTGCAGTCACACACACACACACACACACACACACACACACACTAGGAGCAGAAAGACAACACTTGGGACCAAACAGTGAGAGATGGGAGGAAGGATGATGAGTTTGTTGATTGTGCAGCGAACAGGATGATAGCGTCTTGTTGATGATGCTGACATAAGTGTGATGACTTCAGAGAGCAAGAGAAGCATTATTAGTCAGCAAACGACCCAGCTGTGTTCTGCAATTCCCACAAAACCACATCTTTTATTCTCTCATTACACTGTAAAAACGCCAGCTTATATTCTTCATAAATAGGGATTAGAACTTGCTCGGACATTAGCATTTCAAATGTTAGCTGAAGCAAAAACAAGCCAGCAAATGTGAGTGTGTTCTGATAATTTACAATCTTTAGCCGTGACTATTCACAACGTAAGAAAGTCTTGTTAACTCTTGTTTTCTTGGAACCATTTCAGAACTTAAACGAAAGTTGGACATTTTGAGAAATACACTTGTTCACTTTCCTGCTGACAGTTAGACTAACAGGCCTACCACTCTCATGTCTGTACGCTAAATATGAAGCTACTGCCAGCAGCTGGCTAGCTTAGCATAGGTTAGCCTAGCATGCTGAAGACAGAATCAAGCACATGCAGAGTTTTTCCTTATATAATATAACTATTATAATATCTATTATATATAATAATATAACTTTCAGAAAACCATTAATAATGACACCAGTGGCCATTAAGTGAACTACAGTCAGCGTCCTATAAGTCTGAACGCTGAAAATTAAATAACGTTACTATCTGCAAAATTCCTATATTTTATTTGGACCTTTGACTCCGTGCTACTAACTAGTTCGCCATTTGCAAATCCTCCAACACCGCGAAGCAACCAACACCAGACCCACACCACATAGCCAAGACACAGCCAGCCAACCCCAGCTTAGCTTAGACTACAGTTAGATGCTCCTGCCTCGTATTGTTGGCTAAAATCAACAATGTAATGAAAAAATAACCCCGGG